ATACAAAGTTTCGTTCTGGGGAATAAATGAAACAATGAGCATTTTATATATTTAACTGTAAGCAATAAGTTTAAAATTTGTGATGTGATTAATGATAAATCTACAAATTTATTCGTTTTAGGTTTATTTTTTACATTGATATATTTTTTTTTTATATGTTATGTTAATGTTAAAATTACATATTAGATACAGATTATCGTTATTCAATTATAGGTAATCAATAATTTAATTGGTGTGATCGTATATGCAGCTTCAATTGATATGATTATGCGGCAAAAATTATTTTGCAAATTGTACTTATGTATCACTTGTGACTTACGTACGCCTTCACCGAAAGTTTATGTTACACAAAAATCAAAATAATTATAATTGGAATTGCGTGTCTTTATTTTATCACTCCTGTCTACAAAAAAGTCAATTAATTAAAGGATAAGGTGAAGCGCCAAGGATAACACCGTCCAAGCAGCTAACTAATCAGTCATTGGTATGATGTATCATTTAATTGAACTTGGACATGTAATTCTGTAAGTAGTTCCGAACAGATTGCACAGAAAGAAATTTCATTTCGATGTTATAAACCATATAATAATAAAACTTCACCCACATCACATCCCATGCTAGCTAACTAATTCTGTTATTTTCATATAATGAAACTGTTCCAGCCTTATTACCTTTTCAATTACTCTACATATTGCCATATGCTATATTCCATATATAGTGTTCTTTAATTACAGTATATTATTATTCCATCACTTAATCTTGATCACGTGCATGTAGAATATCTGAAACACTAAATGTCATGGCATTTAAAAAGTATTGGTCCGCAAATCACTTATATAATTATAGTGTAATAAACACGACTGCTATAAGATTGCCGGTCAAAATTAAAATAAACTAAATCACATAAGTACGTACTTACCCTGAGGCATATTAAGGTATCACATATATATACTGAAAAATTAGAACATATTATTAAATATCAGAAGCTAGACGTATATACATATTGATATGTATGTATAATACATACTTATATGTAATTGTGGCCGAACAAACAATACTCCAGTAAAAATTGCAGGAGAACAATTATTGAAAGTATGCGTTAATCGAAAAAGGCTAGCGTATAAAAATTCAAAGAGTCCTTACATATATATATCGCTAGATACAGGATAAACAATATTCCCCAGAATATGAATAAGGTAGAATACAGCAAAAGCTCAACATATTGTCATGTGATGATGACTAATCATTAACGGAATTTACTTTCTATATTGATACTACCGAAGATTATTCATTAAAAGGATATATTGTAATCCTAAAGTACATCACAAGTCAAGATTTCTTAACAGTCAAAGATATAATTAGTTCACAAAAGAACCTAAAAACTAAATTTATTTTGGTGCGTATGTGAAAATTATGTACAAGCAAATAATATGTTGTGTGTAAAGATTTTATTACGGGTAGTATGTTTTTGAAAATTGCAAAATATTTAATTTTTTTATTGTAAAACCATCATATATAAACAAAAATCATTAGAATTTCTAATACATCGTATACAAAATGAATTTTTTATCAAGGCTTGGCCAATTTTTGGTTTAACGTCATAACATTTCTGCAACATTCCTATACAGAATATTATTATCATATCTTTATATAATGATATTGTTAAATGAATTACAGTAGTTAAATTTTTAAAAAAATTACTTGATAATTACAAGGCTAAAATAATAAATTTTCTGTAATTTTAAGCATAATATATTAAGTATACTCAATTCTTTCTGTGTACATTTTACGGGATAATAATTTATAATTGACATGACATCTAATATTGAATTTAAAAATTCAAATTATGCTGAATAAAATAAAAATTTCATTATATTAACTAGCAAAGTTAAAATTAAAAATCTAACATTTACATTCACAGTTTGAATTTTATCTGAAATATATCAATATACGATTTGCAGTGTTATTAAGTTTAATTGTAATTTATGACTTTAATTAAAAATAATTAAAATTTTTACAGATTTAGAAAGTTATTAATGGTTTATTTCAAATTAGTAACTATTTTTGTACTAACACTTAAAATCATCAATTATAAAATTATAGCATTTAAACATAAAATTTATACTTTTCTTATATGAGTTAAACACTATCTTGCTAAGAGATTAATACAGTACTTTATATACAAGTAAAAATATTTGGTAGTTTAACAAATTTGATTCTGAAATTTACTAGTAAAATTATATCTACTCCATACAGTTAACATTATATATACAACTTATAATTTCTAATAAATATATTGTTAATAAAGCTCTATATTTATAAAAAATAAAATATTGAACTTATTATTTTAAAAAATATATAGTTATTAGCATAATTAAATTCAGGTTGAAAAGGTTAAAAGTAAGTGTATTAAATAAATACGATAGAAATATCAGATTTTAATTTTGGCTACTATTGTGACAATGAAAAAACATATCTGAAGCTAATAGAATATCAGATATATAATACCTTAATCATGGTTTTAATAACTTAATAATAGCTCTATTGGCTTTTAATATGTTTATATTATTGTTTAAATAAGATGAAGTCAAAAATTGGCAAAAATTAAGACCTAATATTTCTATAACATTTATCTGATATATTCTTTATAATTATATTATGTGATTTAATGTTTAAATATATTCATATGATAAAATTATTTTGTCATAATATTATAATATATAGCAAACATATGATATAGATTAGATAAATATTGTAAAGATAAAAGGATTTGATTTTTGTTAATTTTAGCTCTCATCATAACAAAAGAAATAAATCAGAAGTTAATAGAGTTATCAAAAAGCTATCAGATATATGATAGCTCCGTTATGTGTTAATAACTTATTGATGAATCTATTAGCTTCTAATATGTTTGTTATTATTTTAATAAAAGTCAAAAATTAGCAAAAATCAAAATTCACTATTTAAATAATATTTATCAAACATACCTTATTTTAAGCTGTGATTATTATTTTTACTATAATGTATTATGTGATTGTTAACCAATCAAGTTATCTATAAAAAATTTTTGTTATGCAATAGATTGTTATAACAAACCAAATTTATTATTGAATGTTTAAAACATTCAATCACATAATATAATGATTAAGTAAGGTATGAAGATTGAAATAAAAGTATATTAGGTTTTAATTTTGCTAATTTTTGGCTTTCATCGGAACAGCAACAGAAACATACCAAAAGCTAACAGAGTTATTAAATACATGATAAAGCTATTATGTATCTAATCAATCTATTAGCCTCTGAATATATATCTCTTTGTTGTTATCACGATAGAGCCAAAATCAACAAAATCTGAATCTGAGATTTCTATAAGATTTATCCAAAATACTTTATTTCAACTTGTAATAAAATAAAGTTATAAAAAAAACCTAAATAAACATAGAACCAAAGTATATAATTAGTTATTAAATTAGAATAAAATAATCGAATAAAGTATATAATTAAGTATAGTGAATAAGATATTGAATTTATAATTAAAAAATAAGAATTTAGAATTTAATGTAGAATAAGTTGTTAAATATATAATTAAATAATTGAATAAACTATATTTATACAATATATTACTTAATTATAGATCAAAAAATTTCTGCTTATACAATCTGTTTAATAACCAACATGGATGTGCCAAGTATAAAATTACACAGTTGAAATAAAATAGATCAAAAAATATTATAGAAAGGTCGGATTCCAATTTTTTGATTTTTGCTTTTATTCTAAAAACAACTAGGATATATCAGCTCCTGACATGTCTCTGTTGTTGTCACTATAAAAGCAAAAATCAATACAATCAGAACCTGGTTTTATATGCCGTTTTTCTGATCTACTTTATTTCAACCATAATTATATTAAGAGTTGACATTTAAATATTACAAATTTTGGTCCTTTTTTAAGAATTGTAAACCATATATTTAATGTTACCTTATAAAAGAGAACTATTTCCGTGTATTGAATTATGATAGTTTAATCATAGTTTTTGAAATATAATCCTTACTAGTAGAAATAAAGTAGGTCATAAAAATTGTTGAAATATCAGATTGTGATTCTTTGGCTCACATCGCAACGACAACAGGGGGCATATCAGAATCTATCAGATATATAACAGCTTTGATAGCTTTATTAGTTACAGATATGCTTTATTATTATCACGATGGGAGCCAAAAATCAATAAAAATAAAAACCTAAATATTTCTATAATATTTTTCTGACCTACTTTATTTCAACCTGTAGGTCATCTTTTTAAAAAAGAAAAAAAAGATCAGTATAATATGAAACTTGGTAAAAATATTTAATACAGTAATAAAGAAACAAACCTTAATAAACATTGGTTTCCAAATTAACATATATTTAAATTGCTTTAGGTTATTCTAATTATAGTTTGACAGTTCAATTTTTTCCTAGCAACTTAAAGAATTGAAAGTTCATTTAGTACCGTTTTATTAATTAGTTACTATAATGGATTTCTATAATTGATACTACAATTGATTCTACAATTGATTCAACTAATAATTAATTTAAATCTTAATAAGATAATTTAGTATTTACTCTAATAGGAAACATGGTTCCAATTTTTATTTGAAATATTAATGCAATTCACTCCATTCTTGTTTTTGATATATAAATTCATAAGTTTTTGTATCAAAAGTAATTTTGTTGTAGTTTATGTCATAATTGCGCAAACATATTATTCAAATAGAAAAAAAAAACACGAAAAAAGAAAATCAATAATGGAAAAAGGTTAATTTTGAGCCAAAAGTCAAGTTTTTCAGAAATTTACTATATATATAAGAAAAAAAGTGGCAATTGCTATTATTTAGATATTAAATTAAAACAATAATAAGATAAAAAGTTAGTAATATATTACAAAATATTAATTAAATGAATTAAAACATAATAAAGAATTGCTAACCTCAAATTAGACTCTCAATTTAGACCAATCCAAATTATACAACACCTAATCTTTTCTTTCCACTTTCAATCCAAGCTTTCAAAGCATTCACAGCCCTTTGTTCCTTAGGCACTTTTGTTTTTCTAACCAACCCCGAGACAGCAGGTTGCCCAAACGCTATAGCGTTATTAGCAAATTGCCTGATTTCGGAAGCAATATCACTTTGTCTAGTTGGACCTAGTTGAACTCTTTTTTCATACAATTTATTAAATTCATCTAGGAATAAGATTTCTTCGGGGGTGAATTGAGTTGAATAAGGAACTTTTCCAGTTGATGGTTTTCTACGGGATCGGTTACGATTACTTGAACGAGTATTTGGAGAACTTTGATCCTTAATGACTAACGGTTTATGATCAACATAAGATGAGTTATCTATCATATTTATATCATCACTCAATTCATCATGTTCTTCTTCTTCTTCTTCTTCCTCATCATCATTATCATCATCATTCTCAACATTATCATCATCATCATCATTATTATTGATTGCACTTGTTGATTCTGCAGTATAATTGATATTTTCATCGTTATCTATCATAGAATCAACTGGATCTTGTTCTGATGAAGTATCATGTTTTTGATCATATATTTCATCATCATCATCACCATCGAAACTATGACCATCATAAGCACCAGTCACAGCAGCAACAGAATTAGAAGAATTTGTAACCATGGACGTATCATGACCACCTTTATCACTTTCTACGGGATTAGGGTTACGTTCCCAAGAAGCATTTGTAAGAGACATTAAAAGTGATGCTACCATATTATCATCATTAATTCCTGCTGTAGTTGTGTTAACTGAGCTAGTAGACGTATCTGCAGTCATATTTGTTGTATTTATATTTCTATCGTATGATATAGGTACGTCCAGATTTTGAGGTGGTTTATTATGTAATGTAGATGGAAATGATGGTATGCTGGCATCTGAAGGAAGAACTACATTAGCGTCAGGAGGTAGTAGTGCTTTAAGTTGGCTAACGGCATATTCGGCCCTTCTACATGCACTTCCAAGCTCTTCATATGCTTCAACGACCTTTATGTTGAAAAAAAAAAGAAAGGTTATAATCAAGTTTAAATTTATAACAAAAAATAATAAAAGGATGAAACTCACAGCTATAGCACGTCTACCAATCTCACTTCTTAAATGATCATTAGACATTCCCATGAAACTCATATTATTTTTATCCTGGATTATAACTTTACTACTTGATGGTGAACCGTTTTGATGATCGTTATTGATAAATTGATGGTTGAACATAGGCTATTTTTTTAATGTGAAAGGTATAGTAGAACTTTTGGATTAGTTCTGCAGTTAAAAAAATTTGTATACATTTTAAGTGATACTTACCATATTCTTTGAAAAAAAAACAAAAAACAAAAAAAAAAAAGTTAGTTTGAATAGTTAATAACGTAAAAACCAGTAAAATTTAAATAAACGATCTTTATTTCTATCGTATTACGCAGTGAAACCTTGTTTAATCTTTTTTAAAAAAACAAAAACATTTATCATAAGAATCTTTCATACCATGAAGAATTGTGATTATAGATGGATGCAAAAAAAAAAACCGATAATTAACTTTAATCTCAAAGTAGTAGTGTACGCGAGTGAGTGACAATTCTAAGTTAAAAATACAATGGAAGATCTTTATATGTATCATTAAAATCCCAAATGCTTATTATTTTGTGTAGCTTATTTCCTTTTTCGATTTCAAATATAAACTGATATAAACAGTATATACTAATTTTTTATAATATAATGACGGGAATAATAACGATAATACTAAATTTTAATACTATTTTACGTATCGGTATTGTAAAATAATAAAATAATACGTACCAAATTTTTGTCTACTGTTTAAGTACTTGAGTGTATATATGTAAAGAATAAGAATTATATTTCAAATATTATGTAGGTGCACACTTGTTGTGCGTACATACGTAAGTACCGGCATTTTAGGAAAATGTGTTTTGTTACTATATTGAAATTTCAAGATGCTTCTTTTTTTATATATATTTAATAATTATATAATAATAAATATACATTCGGTAATTGGCAAAGCCCCAAACCGTATATGCGGTAGAATGTGACAAAATGATGATAGTCACTAAATTTAATCATTATTTATTACAAAATTACGTATGCATTGTTACGTACTATAACTTATTATTATTTATTAAATCATTTATATTAAATTTAAAGATATCTTAGGCTGGTGATACCGATGCCACTTGAATTATTATTATTTTTTTTCTTGAACTTTACCGATAAAAATACAGCCACACGACTATGAATAGTAACGAAGCTCCGATCTTCGTTATTCTTGTATAAACATGCTATATCAATATAACTTTATATTAATACTTTAATTACTAAGGTAAGTGTCATCTTTTGTTCATATACGTATACGTAGCTATAAAAAAAAAAAACAATATAGAAATTTATTTTTACTTAATTGAATAAAAAAATAAATGCTTTCAAGAAGAGTAATATGAGTAATATGTTGATACTTCCTTAAACAATTAATTTTCTAAACGATTATTACAAAATTATTGACAAAATCTTAGAACTTTCAAGAATCGCACGTTTCTCACTACGTACGTACTCCTAATCGTTATGTGCCGAGCTAAGACTAAATAAAAACTAATGTGGCTGAAGTGCATAAAATGAAACAGCAATAGAACGAAACATTTCATAGATAGCACCAGAGTGTCCAGCTATTTCTAGCATCTAAAATAGCACTAATGATATCACGAAAACAGCCAAATTAAAATTCGATAAAATTTTCCTTATTTTATTTTATGATCGAATTAAAATAGAATAAATCTGGTTGAATTTGTTATCGCTATGTGGTTGTCGTAATATCGTTAGTGCTATTTTAGATGCTAGAAATAGCTGGACACTCTAGATAGCACTGCTGATAATTGTTATCTAAATAACAAAGGTAGAAACGACTAGACACCAATTCATTAGTAATTTTAATGACAACTAGTATCCTAAGAATTCTACGAGGATGCAATGTTAAGCGAAGCAATAAGCGTTTATAAAAAAAATTAATACTTAAAGGACGACACTAGGTTGGCCCTCCTAAAGTTCGGTGCTACTGCCGCAGCATTTAATGATCCAAACTTCACTTCAAGATGAAGTGAATGTAATAAATGAGATTTTTGCTAACAAAACGAACTCTTCAGGTTATAATTTATATAATCCTAATAAATCATTTTGTTGGTGAGGATTACAAATCTTAGATATTGTTGCAGTAGCACACCCGAATTTCGTGGGAGCCGCCCTGGTGTCATCTATTTAGCTATATCGAATAAGTGTAAGTAAAAAAAAAGTTTTTAAATCTTAAAATAGAAGTTATACATTCTTTTTTTTTAGTCAACACATTCAATAAATCAAGTTTTAAACTAAGTAGATTGAAAGGTGATAATTTTATTTTCATAACGTAAAAACTTTAAAGTATTCTGAAACCATTTGTTTAATCTCACAACTTTATCTAAATACAGTCAACTCTCCCAAATCTGAATTTGGATAGTCTAAACCCGGTAAAAACGAACACAATCTTCAGAATATTTGTAAAGTTTATTATAATAAAGTTTGGATTAGCGACATAACAACTATTTGTAAATAGAACTTTTTGATATTTTTACATATAAGAATGGACTGCTCGGGATATAGTTGATTGTAAAGCGCAAAATCTGACTCAAGCTTTTATAACTTGAATTTATTCTAAATTGCAGAATGTGCTTGGAAAAGACTGAATATATCTAACAATAAAAGTTAATTAAATTATGCTTAGAAAAGGTTGAGCCAATTAGTTTGTAAAGTTTTCAATTTTTAGTCAATTCTAAATTTTTATTGATTTATTAGATTGGCATCTAGAAAATCTCAAATATATATACTTAGACATAAAAGTGGAAACTTTTAATGACAACAAAGTATTTATAAATTTTATTTTTACATTTTTTATAGCCATTAATATAATAACTTGCTAATGTTCTGCCACAATTACCAGTTAATTTTAGAGAAGCAATAATGACTATTTTAATAAACAGACAATATACTCCAATATGCTCACGGTTTCAATTAGTAATTGCAAAATCAGCAAGATATTAATTAGGGATGATATAAATCACTGATTTTTATTTTAAATCAATTTAAAGCAGATTTAAATATTGCATTCAAAGTCAGCATTTGAATACAAATCAAATGTTTTAAATCATTTTTAAATCACCAAATTTGATTTAAATCATGATTTTTGCCATCCTTAGTATTAATGTTTTTAAATGCTTTTAATTCAAAATACATAGAAAATTTGATATAAATATATTGATATATTGATATATTTAATTATTCAGAATCTTTCTAATCACTTAAGAAGTTAGTTACTTTATTGAAACTTGCGAATTAGCAACTTTAATACTATTTGGTAGTAGTAATTTTCTTTATATTTACTATATAGTTAGCAATACCTTATTATATTAAGTTTATTTAGTGTTAAAATTATTAAATAATTATTTTATCATTATACATTTATTATATGTTAACAATATGAATACTACTTATTTTTGCAAGTTTCAGTAAAGTAAGCACTTATATTTCGGTTGTATTATATATAAGATTAAAATAATCATACAACAACTCCTGCTTTTATTTAAATTCTAATATAATTATCAATTATTGACAAACGATTTTACTAAATCACACCAATGGTGTTCAACACTTATTTCAAAAACTAGTTAAATAACCAATGTCGGATGTACTAAGAAAAAGTATAGGTAGAAATTTGTCATTGGTTATAACTTGACTTGTAATAATTACAGCATAAATAAGTTGTAAAGATTAAGTTGCACATTATTAACGGCCCCAAAACCTCACCTTAACTAAAATTTAAATCTATAATGATTACTATAGTTTAAGTGAATTAACCTAAATGTCACAAGCAAATTATTAAAAAATGGTGTTATCATTGTTAACAAAAATGGTTATACTTTACTAATCATAAACTTACACAATTAATTAAATTATATCTAAAAATATAATGCCAAATTGTTAAAAAACATACTCTCAGCAATATTTTAAACTATAATTAATTCATTGAGCTATACATAATAGAAAACTTCATGTAATGTAACATTTAACTTATTATTCAAAATTTTAATTGGGAGTAAAGACTACTTGTGTTAATAAGATATAAAAAATAATTGTAAAAAATAAAGTGATGCAGAATATATATTAAAGATATAGGGCTTGGATCGTTATCCGTTGGATACTGAATTCAATAGTAAAATTCGTTAAATTTAATACATATGAAAACGAATAATGGATCCAAATTCTACAAAAAATAATTATTACTAAAACTATTAAAACTTTAGTTTGACTTGGACAGGCCAACAATAATTTGAGATCTGAAAATAGTACCAAAACTCTAAAATTATTTTGAGTGCTCGCTTTAAAAGAATTATTAAAATACATTATCGTTATGTTTTACCGGTACTGTTATTAAAACTAGCTAATATCAACATGAAGCAATGCCAAATCGAATTGAATCAATCTGTTGAGCAAGGTTTGATCTAATCTATTTGGCCTACCTGAAATAGGTCAAACAAGTTTTGTCCGGTTTCAATCAGAATTAAAAAAGTGTCTCTAACCTGATTTTTCACGTTGATCAGATGCTGATTTCGGATTTATCCTTACTGATAACGTGTCTCAAACGAGATTTAGCTATACTCGCGCGATATTTACTTTTGTAACTTTTGAGTTACGTATGTACATGCATAATGTAAATGGAGATATTTAGTCTACGATCATTTCGGAGTTATCCGGAAGTTTGATCTAATCGGTATCTTAAAGTTGTTTCTTCAAAATAAAAATATTTAACACATACCGGTAATTTAGTTAATTATAAATATACACATTAAATAACTAACATAACGACAATTCGTTCTCTGAAAGCCTTATTCCGCAATATATGGAATGTTTTTAACCAAAAGTGCTATTAAACGAAATTAAATTAAAAGAAGGTTTGAACGTGAATCAGTTTGATTTTATAATCGGATTTAACCGAATTTAACCAGTTTTATTTACAATATAAAATAATAAGTTCAACATTCATTTATGTACTGTACGTAAGTGCGTACAATATTCTATTCATAAACTTAATCAATAACGCTTCAGTATATAAGTTTCTTAATAATCCTCCAAACTTTATGAATTTTATAGAATTGATTTCAAATTTAAGAATTAATTTATTACTT